CCTTTATCCCTCGACTTCCTATGATCGCTGCCAAATCACTTCCTCTTCCAGAAACTCGAACTTCTGGGGCAGCTTAGTATACAATGGCCCATATAGCTCATGGAGGGGATCCCCACCTTCAGCTGTTGCTTCGATGTACGCATACCATCTGCAACTTTACCTATCAATTCCTTCGTTAGGGTTTGTCAAGGACTAAACTTTTGATATATGCTTGATGTGGAGATTTATTTGGCCATACTCTAGCTCCAACTGATTCCTAAAGTAAGCCTAAAAGTAGAGGTTGAATATTATATTTAATAGTTTTCAATCGAGCAGCACTTTTGACAATACTTACCTCATCCCATGGCTCTTCCATTTTAAAAGTGGCACCAAACTTTTGGGATTGAGATGTACAATATTTTTTTTTAAATTCTAGGATTAATCACTGTTTCACCAGTATTGCCGAATATTTTCATTTGAAGTAAACAAACCTTAGCAACGGGTAAAGTGATTAGAAAAAAATCAGCGCTCAACAGTGTTGCCATTTTATATACTATTTTTCGTGTCATACGTATCAGCGTGTGCCTTAACGTGCCGACCAGTGTGTCATACTGTGTTTCGGCACAGTGTGCAGAGTTGATTCTCCCTTGGTGTTACCCACAATACAGCTGCTTGATCATGCAATAAGGTTATCAATTTCTTAAATAATTAATAACTATTTAATTTGACGTTTGGCTGAAAAACGGTTTTGGGCAAAGTTGTAGCTGAGAAATTTTTCCATAACAGTGCAATATGGAAAAAGGCTAGAAGACAATGAATAAAATGTTTGATTTTTCCATAGTAATGTCCATATAAACTTCAAATGAAATGAGTTTAAATTTTGGGAGACGAATCAGGACCCAATTTGGAACCGTTTGAGCACTGTGAAGCGAAATTTCAAATGTTGCATCAGACCTTGCATTTAAACGAACTTGAAATCAGGTGTATAAGCTTATACGTACAGTAAAACACAATTATTTTGCTTCTCGCCTTGACCCTAAGGTCAAGCCTAAGGAATTGTGAAAAAATGTTAAAACACTAGGAATTGGTCAAACAATACCTCAAACTTCGAATAATTTCACAGCTGATGAAATCAACTGCGCTTTCAGAAATAGATTTTCTGTTAACAATATTCAAATTTCCGGTTCAACGGGATCAAATGATCTGAATCATGATGCATTTTATTTCGATAGAGTTCATCAAATTTAAGTGTTTAAAGTTATGTACTCCATAAATTCGAGTCGACAAGCTTCCAATGAAATTGTTGAAGGCTATATGTCCTCTCATAATTGAGCCTATAATACACTTATTTATTTCCATTATAACAATAAACGTTTTTCCGAATACCTGAGAAAAATCAAAAATCAAATCAATTAAGAAAAAATTAGTTATCTAGTTCGTACATCGTACGGGTTAGGCAAAAGGTGTGCGTTTGACTTTGTACTGTCACACTAATGGCCCTTCGCTCATTTTCAACTTCTATTCAATTTTCATACTGCCGTTCTCTAACGGAGCTATCTACCTACCCTCTCCTAAAGACCATTCTCGAGCTAATAAATTATCACACTAAAGCTTCATGTTAGATAGCATTTCGAACCAACTCTGTAGTTCGTTTATTTGGAAAGCGTTAGAAAACTTGCGACATATTTTAGCATCCTTTGCGCTTTATCCAAAGTATATGAAAAGGTTTGTTAGGTTGACATTTGCGATTACTTAGATAGACTATTACATCAGCTTCTGTCTGGTTATCGCACGATACACAGTATGGCTATTCTTAATATAATTAATTATATTGGTATGGTACTAGACAGGGGTCGCCCAGTTGTTCAAATTCTACTAGATTTTTTCTAAAGCGTTCGACACTGTGTCGCAAGAAATCTTATGTTTTAAACTGAGATCAAATTTTCACAGACCGCAAATCAATTCGAATTTGGTGCAAAAAGCTATTAACCAACTACTTTTGGCCTAGTGCTCTGCGTGTACCTCTCAGGTGTCATTTAGTGATAACAAACAAAAACTTAGTACTTCATCAGCTAATCCCAGTTTGTTCTAATGAAATGTTGACCTTCTCTATTTGATACTTGCACTATAAATCGAGCTGCTGAAATTGTTAATTTTATAATCATAAGCTTCTTACCAGGAAATAACATCGCAAAATGTTTCCCAAACATGCAAATAATACCTCTTTTCCAATACACCAAGTCAAATACATATCACTCACATCTGGCCAAACTAGAAAGAAGTATCCGCATCGGTTTCGTGCAATGACATAGTACCCAACATTTCTTATTTATTTACGTTTCGATTTACCCCTGAGCACTGTGAAATTGCAAATCCTTTTCAGCAAATTTGTTTACCCTCCCCTTGTTATACAAATATCCATTTGAGCAAAATCCGAACCCGACACCGACTTCATTCACAAATCAAATACATGCGATGATTGATACAAATCGACGCGCGAGTTCACTTTCGCTGTTGCTGTGCCCGACCTTACGACTAGAGGCAGGGAGAATAGCCCATAATGCACCCCTGGAGTAAAATGGCCACTTGTAGAAAAACAACGATGAATTTTATTCAGAGGCATTTAAAGGATTGTACTTGTTATCATTTGAAGGTTTAACAAATAATTCCTGATCATGAAATCATATAACGATCCTTAAAAAAAATTAAACGAATTCATATTTCGTGAATTTTTAAAATGTTTTACTTTATGAATAACACTCTATTGAGACCTTTTTGCTGATGTAAACTAAAGGAATAATCATTTGAAATACCTTATGCCCTTGTATTCTCTACTTGCAGGTTATGGGTTGTCTCTATCAAGTGCTTGATTTTACCCCAATGTTGTGGTGCGTTTTATCCATTGTTGTCGTGTGTCTTGCCCCAATGTTGTGGTGCATATTGCACCCTGAATCAGGTGTTTTTCTCCGCTTTAATTTTGGAATCTATTTAAAAACAATATATAATCAATATATTAATCATGAAAAATCATCGTTTTGGAGTTCGAAATCACTCGATCTTTGCAAAAAACATGCCAGGCTCTTGAACAGCATACGCAAGCTGTTCGACCGGATTTCGGACCTTACACTTTAATCTTTGACCGTATGAAATCACTAATTCAGTGCCAACATTTCAAAGGGGCGTAATTGCTTTTGTAAACAATGGCTTTAGCCGTCGATTTCTCGCAAAAAAAAGCTCACTCCTCCAAATTAACAATGCTAGAGGTAGAGGAAACATTCCTCTATCTGCTGGTGTGATTAATTTTCATGAGTGAGCTTTTATTTGCGAGAAATCGACGGCTAAAGCCATTGTTTACAAATACAATTACGCCTCTTTGAAATGTTGGCACTGAATTGCGGTTATTTGCAACTGGAATGGAATTTATTCTTCTTCAAAAAAGGTCACAGGAATAATGATAAACACATCTGTGTACGCGCGCGATTGATGGATAACTAATTTATTGCCCCTATCAGCTGTTCACTCGTACCTACAATCTACTCGTGGAAAGGAGATTAGCTGATAAGAGAGGATCGTGAGAGGAACCTGATCGCTTAGTGTGAGAGTAGGTGAAGTACAATTTCGTATGCAATTTGTTTAGTGGTTGGGTGCTTCTATTTATGTTCAAACATACCGCCTACCTTGGAATCTCTGTGTTTTCAATCTAATCTAAACACTAAATCGAAGCTCAATTTTGAAAACTAATAACACTAGTAGGTTGAGGTATGGTTCCTCTATCCTTTGGTATAGTTTGTTTATAAGATTGAGCTTTTATTCACGAGAAATCGGCGATTGACCTGTTTGTCTAAAAATCTCAAATCTCAAATCACTCCGGTCGTGTCTTCTTCGATACTGCTGCCGATTCCACGACGTCAATGACTTTGACTATCTTCTCCTCCTTGATGCTGCTACACTGCTACTACTGCTTACTGCTGGACGACTGCTACAACCCAACTACTGCCGGAACTTGGCATGGAATAACTTCGATCTTCTTCTTGGACTGACTGGCTTGAGGTCTGACACAGGTGTGTTCACGGGTTGGTGACGAAAAAAATTATCTAAAAAATGAGAGGCTGCTTTTTCAACTATTTAACCCAACTATAAATCGACTTGCCTGGAGCGGAGGCCTCCTGGCCTCCGCGGGCGCCGAAGCACCGACGATGATTCCATGTCGCACGGACAAATTGGTTGAAAGAACGTATGTGTTGACCGCCAAAACGAGCTGACGATGCTCAGCGAGGCTCCAGTTTGGACAAACATCGCGTCGTTGAAAATCATCATTCTACTTTACGGAAAGGAATTGCGACAAGGTCAGGAACGTATCGTTATGACAGACAGGACAGCACCGTGAACTTCACACATGCAGAACGATACAAGTTGTCGATCACCAATGATGGATCAGCGAATTACGGACGGATGGACTGGACTTGGTAGACCTCAAGATGTTCCGGATTTCCGGAATTTGAAAATGGGGTTAGTTCTGGTCTCACCGAAGCACGACCAGAGCGCAGTTTAGTTTTTCTCGGAAGCAGAGAGATCGAAGTTGTCACGTATCGGTAGGATGCAAATTTTGGAAATTGCCCTTCGGTACAGACCGTCTTGCGTTTTGACAGTAACTACGCGATTGTTTCAATCTGAGCCAGCATGGATGTCAGCGACACGTCTTAGGTTCCATTCCAGAGGCGGGAGATTGTCCTCTTTCAACATAATCAAGGTACCGATGGAGATGTTATCGCGCTTGCGGGTCCATTTTGTTCTATTGTGGAGATTGAAAAGGTACTGAACAGACCACTTCTTCCAGATTTGCTGAACGTAGTCCTGAGCTCGTTGCCACATAGACAGCCTATTGTGCTGAATATCTTCCAACGAGGGTTCATGAATCGCTGTTAATGGTCGCTGAACGAGAAAGTGTCCAGGAGTTAACGCTTCGAAATCCGACGGGTCGTTACTGATCGGAAAGAGTGGTCGAAAATTCAGGATGGCTTCTATTTGTGGCAACACTGTAGACATTCGTCATGCTGGAGCATTCTTTCGCCGATAGTGCGCTTGAAATTTCCTTTGAACGATTCCACCGCGGCTTCCCATAAGCCGCCGAAATCGGGAGATCTTGCCGGATTGAAACGAAACTCTATTCCTTCCTCTACTGCTCCGCGTGCAACAGAATCGTGGAATCCTTGATCCATGAATAACTGCCGTAATTCATCCAACTGACGCTTGGCTCCAACAAAGTTCAGGGCATTGTCGCACATGACTAGGACTGGTCTTCCCCTGCGTGCCACGAATCGCTTGAAGGCAGCAAAAAAGGCTTCACTAGTTAAATCGCTCACCAGTTCAAGATGGACTGCCTTCGTTACAAGGCAGACGAAGATTGCGACAAAGTGTTTCCTAGGGAAGGATCTACGGATTGGATAGCTAATCAGGAACGGTCCGCAGAAATCCACACCTACGTTCAGGAATGGTGGCGCTGGAGATACACGTTCGGATGGAAGATCAGCCATTATCTGATCCAAAACCTTCGGTCTGCTACCGAAGCACTGGACGCACTCATGAATGACAGTGTTGGCTAGGCTTCTGCTACGTGTTACCCAGAATCACTCCCGCACTGTGGACACAAGCAGCTGCATCCCAGAATGGAAGTTCTTGCGATGTAATCGTCCAGTGGCACGGTGACACAGGATTATCGGATGCTTCCGACTTGCTGATATTGGTGCCTTGGCTAATCGACCTCCTACACGTAATACTCCATCAACGAAAATAGGGTTGAGCTTGTTCAGCTTTGACGACGGGCTGATAGACTTTCCTTTCTCCAACGCAGCGAATTCCATCGGAAACGATTCTCGTTGTGCCAGCCGAACCAGGACTGCTAGTGCTTCTTCGTGCTCAGGATACGATAGGAAAGCAATACGCCTCTTATCTCTATGCTGTGTATTATGGACCAAACGGCGTATTCTTGCGATCAATCGGACCAAGCTAAAGAGTGACGAACGAAGGCTGAATATTTCACTGACTGGTTCCGATGTTGTTGGCAGTGCAACGATCTTTCTTTCCTCCAGGAGCGCTTGATCAACTTCTTCTTCTGGAACATTCGACGGCCTTACAGTAGCATCTTGGCGAAGCCACAGAGGACCTTCGAACCACAGCTTTTCATACTGTAACCGGGTTGGAATCATTCCTCGCGAGATAATGTCGGCCGGATTGTCTACACCGCCTACATGCTTCCAGGAGCTTTCTTTTGTAATGTGCTGGATTTAAGACACTCGACAATCTGCCATCTCGATGGCAAGGATGACAGCCAATGCATCACGATCGTAGAATCGGTACAAAATTGAGCTGAGCTGGTGGATACCGGTACTGCTGACGAACTTCTCGTACAGATGACTGAGGAAGAGCGCGCCTGAAAATTCCAGGCGTGGTGTAGTTTGTTCCCTTTTCTTCCGCTTGAGATCCTCTAGAGGTGCAACCTTGGATTGATTTCGCTGTGATTTTACTGAAACGGTGCGTTTTGCACCATCGTACCCTACCTAAGGAGCAAAAAAAAATCGCAACCCAGAGTCTAACCACCGTCCGACAGACACTCGGCGGACAGGGTTAGAATAAATACCACGGTTAGAGCAAGTTGCACCGTCTGAATCAATAAGCGAATCATCAACACTCAATTTGAATTAATTTTTATTCTCTCTCTCTCTCCCCCTCTGCTGCCTGCCATCGTTATGAACCGCGATGATCGATCAGGCAAACGGTATGCTGTTGTTGGCAGCATCACCCTCCATCATCGATGCGGCGGCGGCGGCGGCGGCGATGACAACGGTGGCGGGCGTGCAGAAATTGCTCAATCTAAACATTCGAGTCTGAGATGCTAATAATAATGCGGAGGAGTTTGTGGAGAAAGACAATAATGATGCACAGAAACACCGCACCGCACCGGTTGGTGTACTAATGGCCACAAATGGGACTCCCGACAGTCGGATTTGATTGACGGTTGACGATCACGCGCCGCTGCTGTCGCTGCTCTTCCACCGGTGATCAATTTGTTACTTGTAATATAAATTTATCGAGATGAAATCTGAGTCTGAGGAGTTTGACCGGCACAACAAAGTAGTAGTTTCTCAAAATAAAAACTGGAATGAACATTTGTCTAAACGATTCGCAGTTATTTACCTACACACCGTATATCATTACGTTATGACTTGTATTAATGGACTGTTTCGAAGCGCCCGGGCTGCTCCGGTGAGAATTTGGCAATGTTGCTGTTTCGTGTCAAGACTTAGCTGGTATGGCAAGCAATAAAGCTGAAATGGACAGTTTTAACGGGGATGATTATTTTGTTTTGAATTATGACAGCGGTTTGCCCGCAGAGGACGTTCGGACGATGATGTGCATCAGGTTGCTAAAGGTGACAAGAACCAAAGGCACGTGATGCTCTCAGAAAATAAAAAAAAGATTAATCTCAAAACCATTCATTTTTGCGCAAATCGGAACTGGAAACCATCGTGGTTTGTCGAGTGACATGTGGAGTAGTAGTTCGAAGACTAAATTCACGGTCAGGTTGGCTACTGATTTTCTCAATGTGCTTGAGCTTCTCTTCCCTATAATTTTAGATCTCACAGAATTTAAATTATTTTTTCAGAAATTCACAATGCGGGTCTCGGATATAAGACTATTTATGTGATAGAGTGTAACTTTTTCTTTTCTGACTATATTTAATTATCTTTCTCTCAAGGGTCATAAGGACCCCTAGCTAAGCCCCTAGCTGCTGGTCAAGCCAACGGCAGCCGTCTGGGGTGGGCGTAACAAATGCCTCTTTTCGAGATAGTCAATAGGGTCGTTTTGTTTGTCGGTTTCCTGAAAAGATTTAATTAATTCCAGTGGACTTACTTCCCACTTACCCTTGGTCACTGAGCTAAATGATTACATTTTTCAATGGTGGAAACAATCATGTCAAGTGAAATTTATTAATAATATTAAATAATTACTAGGCAATTTAGTTCAAACAGACCATACATTAATGGGGATTTTTTTTTTTATATTGGAGATTTTCATAGGGTGAAATTAAATCAGTTTAATTTTCGTGTACTTGCATTATTTTATTCACAAACCCTTTCGTGCTGGGGAGGGGTTCTCGTTGCGGCCGATCGTTGCTCGTTGGTCAACATACAGCCGCGGCGGCGGGAATCCTCGGTGGCGATTCTCCATGAGACGAAGCGGATAGGGGCTGACTTTCCCCAACTACGAGGGCGTGTGCGATTTCTTCGGTCCCACTATTAACAAGGGACAGGGTGTGACACTATGGCCGTAATGTAACGGAGGCCTATGGTTCCGAAATGTTCAGGGAGTGGTACACTTGTGCACTTTGTTTTCTTCGTGGTCGATTCGAACGAGTGACACCAATGAGCCGACGGGGAACAGACTTTACGTTACACCACTATTGTTCTTGCACACACGCGTTTATTGCAAATTCTAATAAAACGCGGTTCACTACCCGTCATTGGCTCTGACCACATCTCATCACTACACTGCAGTTCATTTGCTCCACGGCTCGCTCGAATGTTAACTTTCGTACGACTATGACCAATGCGGGCTTGACTCGGCCAGCACTAACTGCAATGGCGAAATTTGGTGTCTTTTCACTGACCGTCCGTGGTGCTGCCTCGCAAAGATCCGTACTTTTTTAACGTTCTAGGTTTAATAGCTGTGGTGTATTTAATGCTGTTCTTTTAATTTTTAATTAACTTTCACCTAGTTTAAGATTTAGATAGTTTGTAAGTTTTGGCCATATAACTTTAGAATTTAGATTTTAGTTTTAACTATCACGGAACTCTACCGAAACGCGTTGGACTTGCGATATCGCGATCACACACTACTTCTTCACTCCTCTGGACTGGTAATATAAGAGGGCGACTCTATTGTTTAAGCCTCTATTTATACCATTCCTCATATCGCATTCCGGATCGACGCAGTTTCCCGCATTCAGCATCTCAGCAGTTGGTAGTTGATCAGTTACTGCTGACAGTTGCTCGATACTGGCAGTGTTATTTTTAGTACAAGTTGAGGGGCTTTGGTTGGTGATGTAAATAATTTTGAATTTGAATTTAGTTTTAATTGAATTTTTACTAATTGACTCGATTGCATGCATAATCGTAACAATGTTTTATTCTAGATGATTGTTTCCAATTTATATAATTTATTTCGATTAATTTTAAGTAATTTAAACAAAAATAAACAAATCGAATAAATAAATAAATAAATAAATAACAAGAATATCACCAACCGGGTTTTCATAATTTGAATTATGTTAGTAAACAAAGACAAACATGGAATATTTACAATATTTATAATGGTTTGAACTAAATCGGCCCAGTAGCCAAGGATTTTATTGTAACCTCAAAACGGTGGGTTACAAGAGTATTGAATTAATTATATTATATTAGAGCATCAGTTGTACAAATATACAGATCCAAAAGAACCTTACAGAATTTGAAGATCAATTTGTTGGCATTCTTGTGACCAGTTAAATTTATGTAGTAAGCATTTAGTGGAGCTGCTTTGTCTGAAAAGTATGGAATAAATTTGTAATTACAAAATGCGACAAATCTTTTGATGTCAACTGCATTTTGTGTTTGTTGATAATTTAGTATGGTTGAGTAGGGGAAATGGCTCTAATGTTGGCATATGGATCTAAGATTGGGCCCATCTCTAAAAATCTGCTATTTAATTTTATCAAGATGAACGCGTCATTGAGACTGTACTAATGGATATTTTTGGTCGCTATTGGATATTTAGTCGATTGCTGAATTTATGAATGGGCCCAAATAAGGGGCATTTAGGCCGACATTACATCCATTTCCCCCATTTTAATTTATCGGGTTGAATGCCTTGAGCTGAAATGTGGTGACCTCAATATGTGACATCTGCACATTTGGCAGGATTTAATTTGAATCTGTACTTTCTTAATTTTCGAAAAACTTTTTCTAGATTATTTAAGTGATGGTTCATACCCATACAATTCTGCATTCATTTGGCATCGACTCTGATTTATGGTGGTTTTAAAATGGCAATGAATAATCCGTTTAGCTTAAATACAGCATTTCACAGTGTAAAATGTTCATGCTTAGTAGGGTAGAGCACTACTTCGTCGTAATCGCCCATTTCCGTTCTATCGATCAGAAAAGATCAATAATATCAATTATTTCACCGTGCACAAATCAAAAATATGTTTGTTCCGATGCGTTAGTTCATTAGCTACAACATCAACCCGGTTAGAGCGCATTGTATGAATATTTACGCTCATTGTTCTCAAAACAAAAGAAGCACTCCCTGCGAATCCCCTTTTTCTACGTTTATCCGTAGGACGAAGAAAATCTAATGGCGTTTCAATGCGTTAGGACGGAATTGAAACTCGTAGAACGAATTTAGAATCAAGAAGCAGTGTTAAATTTTAATCAATATCTCAACAATTGGTGACTCTTTATCAAATCCAACGGTACGTATGGAAAGGTGA